TAAAGGCCTGAAGTGAATGACCGAAAACAGCTGTTTGCCAATATGACTTTTCTATCTCCGAAATGGTGGCTATAGCGCTCGCACCTCTCGGAATGGGAGGTGCACACAGGTCTACCTCCACAAGCTTGCAACAAGTGATGCAGCCGAAGGACCCCATCCCTAAGCGGAAGAAGTCAGCTGTTATCTACCAGCGTCAATGCAGCTGCGGGATGTGCAACTATACTGGAGAAATCAGCCGACAGCTACAGACGCAAATGCATCAGAGCATCAGATGGCTGTAAGTAGAATGGACCCGAATTCGAATGCAGTAACCCATGCTACCGAGATGGGGCACAGCTCCAACGCCGCCGAAATTGTGGGCTGAGGTGAGGACCACACATCAAGGCAGTTCAAAGAAGCATGAATGTCGATCGACTGTTCAGTAAATCACCACATCAATCCGCCTGCCCCGTGCCTGGTTTTGCAAACCTTCTTATCAGGAGACAGTCACAGGGCGTGGAACAAACTGGGCCCGCTAACTATCTCTGCAATGAAGGAGTGCAAGAAAAGTGGAAAGAGCCATGGTGAGACGCACGCCAATGCGGCGTGGTGGTAACGGTGGCAACACAAGTTATAGTTAGCCGCGGTGGCACAGTCAGTATTGGCACAGGCTACACACATACGGCAAAGAGCGGCATATACTGAGAGCTGTGGGCCTGAATGTCCAATCTCTGAAGACGACACAACCACTGCAAAACGTTAGACGCACAATAGACCTCTCCTGGTGAACGCTCTTGCCCCCCTCCCCCCTTTTTTTTACCATCTCTCGCTCACGACTTCTATCGTCCGCTTAATCATATTGATGTTTACCAGCTATGCAATGGATTTATTCTAATAAACGCATTCGCTTAGAAAAAATAGACTCCCCACAGTACGAGTTAGCAGAATACCGCACGAACTTTGTCAACTGAAGGGTTTCGGTCACTGACATCGGCCCCCTCCCTCCCCCTCCCCCTATTGCATTCCCCATGAACACTAAGTATGGGGACGGAGCTCCTTGAAGTAAAAACGTGTGGCTTACTGCTACATCATTCACTGCCCCCGATTCCCTCTGCAGGCGGAGGGTGGGCTGGACTCAGCCCTGTGTGACCTTCCGTCGTCATACTAATTCTTATAGACTCCACACGTCCTCTCCCAACACTCCGCATCTGATGAGACAGATTATAATGCAACGCATAGTATGGTATTCGGGGGGGAGGGGGTAGGGGTTGGCAGAATTGTATAATTCATTTAACCCAGTTAGGAAAACTTCAGCGGTCGCGGCGTGATTCGAACCCATGCTATAGCCAACTCAGCTACGATGCCCTCATTTGCACAGAGAGAACTATTACTGCATAAAGATTGACCCTACAACTGTGAGATCCCAAAAAAGTCCTACTAGAACAAACTTACTGGATTTATCATCGCCGAGGATGGCATCAATGGCAGCATCACTGGCCGCATCTGGAATGTCCTTTATGACCTGAATTCTAGAATAGGAATATGTG